TCTCTCTCTCTCTCTCTCTCTCGCTTTCTCTTGACCAGTTTCCAGCCCTGGTCAAGCGTATTGATGACGTTGAGGCTGTTGTGGCTGAGCAGCGTGAGGAGATCAGAAGCCTGAAGCAATCTGTAGAGACTGATGTCGGGGCACTGAGGGAGCGAGTCAACTTGTTTGAAGAGGAGCAGCGGCAGATGAAGGAAGATACAGCCAACTCTGTCTCGGTGTCTGCTGGTGCGTCAGCTAAAGCGTCGGGAGCCGTCATGGGCAGGGTGAGCTCCGTTGAGGAGACGGTGGAACTGGCTGACTCTCTAGCGAAGATCAACGCGGAAAGGATGAGGCTTGTGTCGGATATCCTCATCTCAGGCCTTGATCCGCTTGCGAACTGTGACATGAGAAAACTGTCGTTCGCTATCTTTCGTGCCGTGTCATCCTGTATTCAGATGGATGACATTCGCAGTGTGCGTTCTCTTCGGGTAAGGCAGCCTTCAGCTGTGGATGCCGCTGATGATAGAGCTGTAGTTTCTTCAGTACCTACGAGCACGGCAGCTGATAGTGCCACCAAGTCCTCATCACTTTTGGTGTCAGTCTCGTCTGGTGAACTCGTTCGTGAGTTAGTGATCGCGAAGGCAAGGCATGGCAAGCTGTATTCGTCTCAGTTTTCAGCTGAGCTCGTGTCTGCCTCTGAAGCGACACTTCCCCTGCAGCCATCACTCATCAACATCAACGAGTTCCTCCCGCAAGATCTCCATAATCTTAGACGCGCTGTGAGGACTGCTGCCAAGGAGAGAGGATTTCATACCTTCATTCGAAATGGAGCTGTGTTCATAAAGAAAAAGAAGGAGGATGCTGCAACCAGAGTCTCATCGATGGCCGAATTAAAAAACTTCATGGCGGGCCCTCAATAAACTCTTCTGCTTCTGCTATATCTGCTGTCTCCAATCTTTCTCTTCCTCTCTCTTCTTTTTCTCAGTCTCCCGCTCTGCTTTCGCTAACTCATTCCTACCTTGAGCACAGTCAGGCGGCAGCCATGTTGGAATTGGAAGGTTTGCGTGTCTGTCATCTTAACGTGAACTCTCTCAGAGCTCAC